GAATGAGTTTTACAAGTTTAAAACGTTTTTAAAACGGTGCATGTTTGTAATACAGACAGTAAAATTGCTACGTAATTAATCACCATAGCCGCATAGCGTCAATATAATTTTGAAAGAAGACACTTCAATCCAGGTTGTGGACTTAAATCAGCTTTATTTTGCACATTAACATAATAGATGTCTATACAGCAGCGGATATTTACGTGTACCGTCACGTTTGCCATGCAAAGCTAACATGTATGTGTGTGTGTGCACATGCACGCAAGCGTTCTTTATAACGACTCATTGCTTCAGAAAGGCTTAAATTAACTCCAAAACAAATATATCAAATAACCCTTGTGAAGTTTTTACTGTAGTAAGAGAGATCTGCTTTATTCTTGTCTGTCACTGAGCTGTTTGTCTACGTGAAGGATATGGCTGTGACAAGCATGTGGGAATGGTGGGCGGGGAAAACCAACTCATTAGCATTAAAGGCACAGGCGACAAAAACAGCTAAAATCTTAAAACAGCACCCATTTCCTGGATTTAAAAAGGTATAATAACTAATCTAATTGAGCTAAAACTTTACAGACACATTCTGGAGACACACAAGATTTATATTAAATCTTGAAAAATGGTCAAAATCTGTGCCCTTTAAAGGCTCCTTCAAACGCCACTGCGCGCTCACTGCATGTCAGGATTGTCTTCTGAGGCGCATTCATTTAGGAAAGATTGATGCAGCTGCAGCAAAGGAAGTTTTTACTGTTGATATTTGGCGCCAGTTAATCAGGAAGGGACAATTTTGGTCACTATGACTCGTTGGATGGAAACGCTGCTTCATTTGCACAACTTTTATGCGATAATCCAGTTTTGCGCATAAAGTTACTGTTACTAGTTACTGATGTATGGAACTAATCATGAATTTACTTAGAAAAAGAGGAATATTGGAAAAAAGCACATACATTTATAAAAATAAGCACATATATGATTTTTTTCAGCCTGATCTCACGAGAAAACGTTAGTATTTTACGTTTTGTCAGTTTAGTGGCTTATTCGTACGAATTCAGTCATATTAAAATGTGAGATTTTAAAAAGGAGGCCCAGCCCCACCCCTAAACCCAACCGTCATTGGGTGATGAGCTTATGCTAAATTTTATGAGTTAGATCGTACAAAATGATACAATTTAGCCACTAAACAAAAAGTTACGAATTGCTGTGAAATTGCGTTGGATTTTTTTCATATCCCAAGTAAAGTTTAATGTTTTGTTTCTTTTTAATTTACTTTAAAAAAATCCTCGTAACAATTTGCACAAACAAATTTCAAGTAAATGTACTATATTATACCAGGTACGATTAACTTATCAACATCATGTACAATTTACTTAATGTTTAACCTAACACTCCTGAATTAAATGAAAGTTAATTGATTATTTTTAATTTTGAGTCTTAATATTATTTTAATTAATCAATTCGTATCAAGTTCTTGTTTTAGCTAAAGGAACAGTGCTTTTAACAATTTAAATAAATCCTAGTAGTTACATAGTAATACATTTGGTGTAACGTATTTAATTATGACACACATTTCCACTAATTTAAAATGTGTTATTTCACTTTAATTTATTTAAAACAAATTGAACCCAAGAGCATATTTACTTTAACAATGCTTACTGATCTCAGAGGTAATGTTAACACAGCTATGGCTCTGAGTGAAGCATCAAGCATTAATGCTGATAAAAAATGCCAAGACCCAAAGCATGAGTCCTCTTCTGCAAGATGGTAACCTCAAAACTTAAAAACGTGCTACAAACTCTTCTTAATCTTTAATCTAATGACTATTAAACTCAAACAACTCTCTCACAAATTTAAACACCAAGAATAATTAATAATTAATTTTCAAAATATTCTCCTCCTAAATCAATCCCTTGTGAAGCATGCTGAGAACTACACAGACATATCCATAATTAAACTTAAATTAATATAACTAGGTTTACAACGATAAGAAAATATTACAAGTAAATGAATATTAATGTTTTAACCTTTTCAACCATTTATTACATCAAGTAAATGTGCAAACATTAAATATTTACTTAGAAAATTCTAGTTATCTTTGACACTTAATATTACAATTTAAAAATAATGAGAGTAAATTTATTACATTTTAATACACCAAAAAGTCATTTTTTCAGTGCATGATGGACATGGCAAAATAGCCGGTGTCAACTGAACTGTGTCAACACAACTTTTAATATAAAAATAGAATAATATTAAAATGTATTGCATCTTTTTAAGCCTTATTGACAGAGTCATTTCAATTAATATAGAAAGCTTTTAAAACAGATTTTGGTGACCCAATACATAAAATACAATTAAAGGAGGTAGATTGTACTGGTTTCATGGATTGTGTCAATGCAACTTTTAATATAAAAATAAATATATTGCATCTTTTTAAGCCTTATTGACAGAGTCATTTCAATTAATATAGAAAGCTTTTAAAACAGATTTTGGTGACCCAATACATAAAATACAATTAAAGGAGGTAGATTGTACTAGTTTCATGGATTGACTTATGTCTGCTAGACCCATATGAAAAAATACTCTATATAGTATAGTACACTGTAAATGGATGCAACAGCATACTGCTGAAATATATAGAATAAACTACGAGATAATTATGTGTATGGTATTTTCTATATTACTATATTATAACACTATTGTTATATTTCAATCAATCTATCTATCTATCTATCTATCTATCTATCTATCTATCTATCTATCTATCTATCTATCTATCTATCTATCTATCTATCTATCTATCTATCTATCTATCTATCTATCTACACTGTAAAAAATAAGAAGTTTAGTTGACTTAAAATTTTAAAGCAATTGGCTGCAATGAAATTTTGAGTTTGTTAAGCTTCAGTGGTTATAGTTGTGCAAAATAATTTTTTAAGTTGACTGAAATGGCTGGTTTAAGTCAAGTATACTTTAGTGAAGAATTTGGCACAACTTCAACCACCGAAGCTTAATAAACTCAAAATTTCATTGCAGCCAGTTGCTTTAAAATTTTAAGTCTAATCTAAAAATCTTTAAGTTTAATCTATCTATCTATCTATCTATCTATCTATCTATCTATCTATCTATCTATCTATCTATCTATCTATCTATCTATCTATCTATCTATCTATCTACAGTTGAAGTCAGAATTATTAGCTCTTCTGAATTATTAGCCTGTCTGTTTATTTCCCCCCCAATTTCTGTTTAACGGAGAGATTTTTTAAACACATTTCTAAACATATTATTTTTAATAACTCATTTCTAAGAACTGATTTGTTTTATCTTTGCCATGATGACAGTAAATAATATTTGACTAGATAATTTTCAAGACACTTCTATACAGCTATTTAAAGGCATAACTAGGTTAATAAGGTTAACGATGGTTTGTTCTGTAGACTATCAAAAATATATAGCTTAAAAGGGATAATAATTTTGATTTTAAAATGTTTTTTTCATTATTATTTATAAATATATTTATTCTAGCCAACATAAAATAAGACTTTCTTCAGAAGAAAAAAATAATATTATCAGACATACTGTGAACATTTCCTTGCGCTGTTAAACATAATTTGGGAAACATTAAAAAAGAAAAAAAATCAAAGGGGGGCTAATAATTCTATCTATCTATCTATCTATCTATCTATCTATCTATCTATCTATCTATCTATCTATCTATCTATCTATCTATCTATCTATCTATCTATCTGTCTGTCTGTTTCTGTCTGTCTGTCTGTCTGTCTGTCTGTCTGTCTATCTATCTATCTATCTATCTATCTATCTATCTATCATCTACAAATTGCCGTGAGATTGTGTTGGAATCATTAGCCCTTCTGAATTATTAGCCCCATTTATTTTCACCAAATTTCTGTTTAACAGAGAGATTTTTTCAACACATTTCTAAACATATTATTTTCAATAGCTCATTTCTAATAACTGATTTATTTTATCTTTGCCACATTGACAGTAAATAAAGTTTGACTAGATAATTTTCAATACACTTCTATACAGCTTTAAGTGACATTTAGAGGCTTAACTAGGTTAATTAGGTTAACTAGACAGGTTAGAGTAATTATAGGCTAGTTATTGCATAATATGGTTTGTTCTGAAGACTATCATAAAATATAGCTTAAAAGGGCTAATAATTTTGATTTTAAAATATTTTTTTATTATTATTTATAAATATATTTATTCTAGCCAATATAAAATAAGACTTTCTCCAGAAGAAAAAAACAATAACTATCAGAAAAACTGTGAACATTTCCTTGCTCTGTTAAACATAATTGGGAAATAATAAAAAAGAAAAAAATCAAAGGGGGACTAATAATTCTATCTATCTATCTATCTATCTATCTATCTATCTATCTATCTATCTATCTATCTATCTATCTATCTATCTATCTATCTATCTATCTATCTATCTATCTATCTATCTATCTATCTACAAATTGCCTTGAGATTGTGTTGGAATCATTAGCCCTTCTGAATTATTAGCCCCATTTATTTTATTTATTTTCACCAAATTTCTGTTTAACAGAGATTTTTTCAACACATTTCTAAACATATTATTTTTAATAACTCATTTCTAATAACCGATTTATTATATCTTTGCCACATTGACAGTAAATAAAATTTGACTAGATAATTTTCAAGACACTTCTATACAGCTTTAAGTGACATTTAAAGTCTATCTATCTATCTATCTATCTATCTATCTATCTATCTATCTATCTATCTATCTATCTATCTATCTATCTATCTATCTATCTATCTATCTATCTATCTATCTATCTATCTATCTATCTATCTATCTATCTATCTATCTATCTGACTAAAACTAAGTGAAATGTTGGGATGAATGCCTTAAGAAGAATGTGAAATTGAAACTAAGCAAAAAGTTGAAATGAAAGACTGAAGGAGAGGGTGTCTTTAGTGGGTGGATCTTGGCCAACTTCCTTTTCTCGTGGTTTGTTGAACAACAGATGAGACAAGTTTCATCAGAGCGCAGCGTTATCTCTGCGAGAGGCGCACGTGGACGGCAAACATTTAAGAAAAGCGTTTCATTTGCTGAATGCACAGTTTCACACTGTTCACAATTATTTGTATTGCACTGTCGCGTTTATGTAAAGAGTGAACCGTATTTTCATTCAGGAATATGTAAGGACGAGTTGGAGCTTGCCCGAATTAATGACTGAAAATGTGCGCGCTCTTAATTTGTTTTTAAGAGTCGCTCCACATCGCTCGTGTTCATTATGGTGGACAAGGGACCTCTTCTGACTTCTGCTATCATTTTCTACCTGTCGATTGGGGCAGCAATATTCCAAGTCATCGAAGAACCGAACTGGGAGATCGCCGTGAGGAAATATAGAGCAGACAAGGAGAGCATATTGAAACAATACCCCTGCCTTACCAAGGCTGACCTGGACTACATTCTAGAGGTAGGAATGAAGTCCAGTTAAAGGCATCAGTTAAGCAAAATTAATTGTTGAAACTCGTTCTTCTGTTGACAGTCCTATATCCATATGTCATTATAGCCTTTGGAGATTCAAGTAGCCTGTAGGAGGAAGTGGAGGAAGATTTTTTTTATGAGTCAGCTGGAATGATATCCTACTTGGACTGTGTGTGCGTTCTTTGCTCTACTCGCACCTGCTCTTTTAGAGAAGTTACATGTTATTCATTAATGGGCAGATCAACTATTTAAAATATTCGCACTCTATCTATCTTCTCTTGCTTTGTAGTGGTGTTAAAGCATAAAAGTTGAGGCAGTTATCATAGTAAGGGACTATTTAGGGAACAAAACAGCAACGATTTTTAAAAATTAATGTTTGGGATTATGAATGTACTAGTAAAATGGGGCAGTAAAGAGTTTGCCAAATGTTTATTCTTTTGTGAATTGTCTGAATTAGTATGATTCCAGTATTTAGAAATGTGAAAAATAAAGAAAAACGATAACGAAAATAAAATGTAGGCTACTTAGCGCCATTCTTCAACTACAGGCACTTGTGAAGTTAAAAATAAACTTGTTCAAAATGAACGCAACACAGCCTCTTAAGTTTAAACAATTTGTCTAGTTTTAAGATCTGTAAGAGGACAAACTTGCATAAAAAGAGAAAAAAAAATTCCATCGTGAACTGAACAAATCTCAATATTTACTGTAGCTTTTATTTCTAAATGAAACTAATTATGGCAGTCAAACTTTGTCTAAGATCATTTTTGTATCTAGTTTAACTAATCTTTCTACAATATATACAATATTTATACATTTGTCAACGAAATAATCGAGTTGTATGCTGAATTGTACAGCTGTCACACTCTAAAATTTAATATTAATGTGGTTAAGAGCTTATTGGAAAATAAATAAACTGTATTTGTACATTAAATAGAGCATCAACTTATACATTGTGCATACACTTTTAATGTGTGATGAGAACTTCTTAAATGTGTGTGGTGATGGAAATGAAAGTAGTGAAAAGGCAGAAATGACAATGGGGGAAATGACATTTCAACAGTTTATTTTGAAAAAAAAGAAAGAAAAAAAGCTTCACCAATTATCTTTGAATTGATACTAGCCTTTCATGTAGACAAAACACTCTTATTTACCTTAATTTTGTTTTGGTTTTTAAAAACATTTTTGAAGGTATAACATATTTGGAAATGACATAAAATAAGCGTATTTAGCGCATTAAGCAATATTTACCTTGATTTTTCTTCAAGTGTTTTTGATGATAATTTAAATTTCCTCCATCTTGAACATGTTCTCAAATGGTACTATTCATTTTCATAGAAACAACCAAAATAATCTCACACAAACTTTTTAAAGGGACATTACAGTGTTGTGCTGGAAATGACATTGATACTGTGCGACAGCTATATTTTGTATAAACATAATATTGATAAGTGTCACATTAATAACTATAAAATATTTAAATTATTTCACTGGTGCTTCATTAGGATACATTAATAGATACCAGATAAATAATCTTTTAAAATGTTATTTTCATTGTTGAAGTTTAAAACTCAAAAGTGAAAACAGTGATTTTGACACCTAAATGGAGGTTGAATAATATGAAAAAAATATAATAGAAAGCTAGTACATTTATTTTTAAAGTAGGTCTTATTGTTAGTTTGAAAAAGAAAGAGGAATTTGAACAAAATTATATATATTTTTGGATATATGATCTAAGCCAGGGGTCACCAACATGGTGCCCGTGGGCACCAGGTAGCCCGCTAGGTTCATATTAGTTGCCCGCGGGCCTGTTCTAAAAATAGCACATATGAGTAAGCTGCATCTAATATTTTTAAAATCTTTTTAAATTACATTTGCATTGTTGTAAATTTGAAAATTACTTTGTTATATATTAAAAAAAACTTTAAAAACAATTTAAGACAAATGAAGTGTTGCATATTGATATTTATCTAACTTGTTAAATCATTATTGACAACTACTGTGAGAAATCATTAACATGATCAATGTCTTCTCATAGATAAATATTATTATTTATTAATAATAACATAAAATTAAAAGTAAATTAAGAAAAATGTGTTATTTAATAACTGGTAGCCCTTCACACTAATCTGTACCCAAGAAGTAGCTCTCAGTTTCCAAAAGGTTGGTGACCCCTTGATCTAAGGACATAAAAGTGGCGGTAGTTAAAGAATTACCCATAAACAAATTACGGTAAAGTTGGGTTTACATTCGCACATTCATTCAGTGACAATTTGTGACAATAGAGGTAATGTTGGTTTTAAATTCTCACATTCATTCATTTAGTAGTCTCTATTGTTTACTATGTTACTTTGAAAATTCGATCGGATTTAACATGCAAGTATGACTTGAGAACAACATTAGCACTGTTTATTTGACTGAAGTGTGAACAATGTTGTACTTTGATAGTCATTTGTTGCTAATATGATTTCAGTATGTATCATTTGCAAAGAATACTTTTCTGAAATTATATTATTAAGGAGAAACTCTGAATTTGTGAATATAAAACCAACTTTACCTCAATTTTGCTTTACTTGCACTTTCATTCATTCATTTTCTTGTCGGCTTAGTCCTTTTATTAATCCGGGGTCGCCACAGCGGAATGAACCGCCAACTTATCCAGCAAGTTTTTACGCAGCAGATGCCCTTCCAGCCACAACCCATCTCTGGGAAACATCCTCATTCATACACTACGGACAATTTAGCCTACCCAATTCACCTGTACCGCATGTCTTTGGACTGTAAGGGAAACCGGAGTACCCGGAGGAAACCCACGCGAAGGCAGGGAGAACATGCAAACTCCACACAGAAACGCCAACTGAGCCGAAGTTCGAACCAGCGACCTTCTTGCTGTGAGGCGACAGCACTACCTATTGCACCACTGCCTTGCCACTACTCGCACCTGCTCTTTTAGGACGTTACATTCATGTTATTCATTAATGGGCAGATAAACTATCTAAAAATGTTTGTACTCAAACTATCTTGCGTTGTAGTGGTGTTAAAACATAAGCTGAGACAATTATTAATTCATGACAGTTTGATAAACATTGAAACATTATTATTCATGTTAAGTGACTATTTAGGGAACACAACAAATTACTTTAGTGATATTAGGGTGTGTGATTAGGGTAATTACTTGTGAAATTGGGCAGTAAAGGGTTTGCTACATGCTTATGATTATATGGTGAATTGTATGAATTATATAGTATGATTCAGTTGCTTGTATTTAGAAATGAGGAAAAATAAATAACATGTATACTATCTAAACAACTATAGAGGTAAAGTTGGTTTTATATTCACACATTCAGACATTCTCCTTAATAATATAATTTCAGAAAAGCATTATTTGCTAATTCTTAATAGGGAAATCATATTAGTAGGCAATGACTATCAAAGTACAACATTGATCACAGTGAATTAAATGGTGCTAGTCTTGTTTTGTAGTAGTACTTGCATGCTAATTCAGGCCAAACATTTAAAGTAGCATAAATGCCATTAAATAAATGAATGAATAGATGTGCAAATATAGGTCAATCTTTACCTCAATACATTATTGTTCATGTTAAGTGACTATTTAGCGAACAAAACATCAACGATTTTTGTCATATTGATGTTTTGGGATTATGATATTACTAGTAAGATGGGGCAGTAAAGAGTATATGCGTTTATTCTTATGATTATCTAGTGAATTGTATGAATTCTATTGCGTAATTCAGTTGGTTCTATTTAGAAATGGGGGAAAAAATAACGAAAATAGCATGTACAGTAGGTGAGAGTTCAAAGTGGCTATTAACGCCGCGGCTTGTACCGCCGCCGTTTGAAATAGGTGCCGCTCTGTTTTTAGTGTATGACAGCAGTTTGTGAATGAGCCGCCAGGGGGCGCAAAAGGACAGGATGCGAACGGACAGAAATAGCCCATACAGCTACTGTGCTTGTAAATGATATTAAACAATAAGTCAAAGCATTATAATTCCTTCATTAATCATTTAAAATTTGTTAACATGCTTTATTGTAAACTTTTTAAGTGCAAAGAGGATTCGTTTTGGAAAATAGAATTGAAGAAGTAAAAGACAACTAAAATGAAAGCACAAACATTAAGTACAAATAAGTAGTCTTAAATAAATAAATAAACAAATAAAGCAGCCTAAATATAGAAAGATGTTCAGTGTTTGCTATTTTGATAGGACTAAGACAAGGCATTTTCATTTATGTTTTATTTCTGTTTTTATTTCCATTTTCGTTGTTGATTATATTTTACTCTCTCATTTATGTCTCAACAATTGTACATAAACGAATAATAAACGAATAATGAAAATAAATGAATAATGAAAATAGGCCTAAATAAATTATTTATTTAAAGACATTACCGTACAGTACGTGAAACACTGAGAAAAATAAATTGACCTACCTTAAGCAGATCACTGTACATTAAACAAATTGAGGTAAAGTTGAGTTTATATTTGCACATTCATTCAGTGGCAACTTGTCACATGATCCCTACTGTATAGGGTTTACCATGCTACTTTGAATATTCGCTCTGAAATCAAATGTAAGTATGACTTAAGAACAACATTAGCACTGTTTATTTGACTGTGAACAATGTTGTACTTTAATAGTCATTTGTTGCTAATATGATTTCAGTATTTATCATTTGCAAAGAATACTTTTCTGAAATTATATTATTAAGGAGAAACTCTAAATTTGTGAATATAAAACCAACTTTACCTCAATTATAAACAAGTTGTTTCTCCTGCCCCTTTCCACCAAAGTAATATTTGAGTTATTAATACGAATGTGGTCACATTTATTTTTCATTTCTTTGTTGTCTTTATTTTCAAAGCATGAGGGATTATGTGGGGCTCACCCATAGATTTACCTTCCTAGAGAGTTCAGCTCCAACCCTGATCAAACTCACCTGAACGAATTATTTAGGACATGAGGCAGTACTTTATA